TAATTGGTTGTAAACCATCTAGCATGCCTATTGCTTCTCGTGCTCAACTATCCAATCAAGACGACACATTGTTGTCCGGATCTCACTGAATTTCAGCATCTGTTGAATTCCCTACAATTGCTCACCTTGACTTGTCCGAACATTGCATATGTCAACAATCATATTTCTCAGTTCATGTCCCGCCCTACTCATACTCATCTTATTGATGCTAAACTCATTCTCTGGTACGTTAAAGGTATTCTTGATCATGGGATTTCTTTTCGTCACTCATTTGGTCCTCCATTACTTTGTGGCTATTTGGATGCGAATTGGGCTGGTTGTTTGGATACTCGTCATTCTACTTCAGGTTTTCTCATTTTTCATGGGTGTAATACCCTGAATATTTTAAAAATGATGTGGATATTCATTTTATTATTTATGTGGAGGAAAATAAAAAATAGATCAATATATGGTTATGAAATTCGAATGGGGAAAATGTGAAATCCTGCTTCTGAATTTTATTATTATTTATGTCGTATAATTTTTCGTTAAGTGAAAATTGACAAAAAAGCCCTAGTGGGCTAAACAAGATTCTTTGTGGACATACTTGATATTTGCATAATTTTTCAAATTTCTTTGCATATCTGGATAGTACGTGTCGATACGAGCACGTAAGTGCAAACGGATCTTAATTCCAAGTTAGAACGGAAAAGTTACGAGCCTCGGAAGTAGTGAGACCTTTTAGACACGTGGACTTACTATTAGTAGTGAGTCTATAATTAGTCAAAATTAGGAGGTTTCCGGGAAACCTGGTCCATAAGCCCAAAAACCCAGAAAATCAACCCAAACGAACCTTTGCGATCCATGAACTTCCGATGACTATTTCGGCCAACTCTGGTGGAATTTTTCGACGCAACCACCACCATCTTAAAGCTCTCACTCCCCACTACAAAACCCACACAAGAGCCATCTTGATTGACCACCGTACATGGCGGTACGAGGCTACAAAAACCGACGAAAATCAACAGTTCTCTGGGCCACCCTTTTCATTTTTCCGACGAATCGGCAAAGCGAAGGCTGATGCCACCACTTGGGTTTTGTAGCCCATCATCCTAGGAGTAAATCTCGACCAGCTTTGACCCCATTAGATCACTGTAGGCGACGAATTGATGCTGAGAAGCTTTAGGCACCCGCCGGCTTTATTGGAAAAATTGACCTTCTTCCGTCTACTTTTGGACTTCGTGGCAAGTATAAAACTTGTTCCTCTTGTTGTGCTCTATTTTCCTGTAAAATTTGGTAATTTTTTGAGTTCGTTGGAAAACTAGGTTTCCGTTCACCGAAATCGTCGGAGCCAGAGGGATGATACTGTCTTTTTAGGCTAATTTTGATATTCTGAATCCATGTATGATATCCATTTGTTGTGATTTATTTGTTTGAACCTAGTTTCGTGATTGGTAGTCACTTGAATGATTTAGAAAATGGATTAACGTTGTGTTGGCGAACTACAACTGGCTTGATCCCTTCGTAGGGTACGTAAGCGGTCTAACGAGAAGGTTAGATGCAGCCATAAAATAACCCAAAGTTAAATTGTTCTTGATTTTTTTTTAAGGAAATAAATTTATTATGGTTAATAGCGTAGAGATTAACCATGACTTTATTTTGGCCTATCACCGGATTTAGCTTCCAAATAAGAATTTTAGGTCATTACAATGGGCCTATTTAGGCAAAGATTTCTCTGGAGAAGGTTCCCCGGACCTCAGCACAGCTCCCTAAGGGATTGACACTTTGGATGTGTAGTCGGGCTCTTGCTTGTTGGTGTGCTACAAGAAGAGAATAAAGTTAGTTCTGAAAGGTGCCTATGTGGGGGCCTTAGGTGTAGGCCTTGAGGCTCGCAATCAAAACTAACTAAGTACTAGGCGTACCATTGCTATCTCAGTATAGCAGACGTAGAACAAGTGTGTTTTAATTCGATTACTTACGCCCCAAGTTAATCAAACTTCTTGCTATCAAAGGATTGTCGTAGATAAGTTAAGTTTGCATTAAGTTCTTTTTCTTGCCTTGTAAACAAGGACTTTTGGTTCATGGTCTTGTACGTTCGAATAAAGGGAGTCCAAAGCCCTTTAAGTTATTTGTTTGGTCCTAGATTGCTTTTAATGAAGACATATCCATTAAACTAACCACATCCAGATACAAATAAGACTCTTAAAGTAGGAAAACAAGTGGATATGACTTGAATTCATACTGGAGAATGCATTAAGTAATAGGTCTATTAACTTAGAAAACAAACAAAGAATTTTGGGCAAGATTTCACCTTGTATGGCAAGGTTGAACTTCTTGCAGTTACTTATCCTTGAAATTACAGGGTTTATATGCTAAAAAGGGATGGATGGTAAATAAGTTTACACAAAGGAATCGATACTACACCACTGAGGGAAATAACAGAGCTTTTACACTAGACAAGAGATAGCTTGTTACTAAAATATCTGAGATCTGGGCTGATTACAGCTTTTGGATGTAAATATGGCTTGAGAGCAGAGTTTGGTTGTTGTTTGTTTGATTGGTTGAGTGTCATTGTCTCTGGGGCCTCTTCTTCCTTTTATGGACAAATTAGCCCAACTGCTGTAACTTTGCACTTGCCCGAAAGCATTTGGAGGGTAATGAGTCATCAGCTTTTTACTTGGAATGCCACTAGAAAGTGTTATTTGGCTGGTAGTAGGTTAGTCTCCATCACTTGTCACTTCAATGGCAAGCACGTGGCTTGCATCTTGGCTGAGAAGGCTTTAATTTGCCTTTTGGGCTCGGTGCTGGGCTTCGGGCAAGTCCCCTTTAATCTGGCATCCTTGGGCTTTCCTTTATCTAAGCCCAATGTTAAAATATTAACCCAAACAGGGCCTAACTTAATCTCCTGGAGCTCCACCAAACAACCGAATGTCTCTTGATTTACTGCGGAATTTGAATGCAGGGCTTTAGCTCATGCTTGTGCAGAATCTCTTGGGCTTTCTTATGTGCTTTGTGAGCTTCAATTTATGGTTTCTTTTGCCACCTTTTATATTGTGATAATTTGAGTACCACGTACATGGCTGCAAACTTGATTTTTCATGCTCAAATGAAGCATATTGAGCTTGATTATCATTTTGTCCGTGAAACAAGTCCAGGGAGTTCTCACAAAGTTTTGTTCATTCCTTTGATCGCACAACCTAAGAATGTTCTCACTAAAGGCCTTTCCAAACCATATTTTGAATTTTTAAAGTCCAAACTTGTCACTTCGAGATCGCCAATTTTGTTGGGGGCTGTTAATGTAGGATAATTAATATGGGCTAGGTTTTGTAAATTTTTGTGGGCCTAGGTTTACTTGTCCACCAAGTCACTTGACTTGTACATATTTGTAATCTTGTGAATAAATGAAATTAAGAAAGTTATAATTCTACACAATCACCCCATCATCCATTTCTAGATTTATTAGTGTGGATACTCTTAGAGGCTCAACACTTGGGGAGCTTTGCGTGATCCATTATGAAGAGAAAGATTGCAAGCATATGGAATGATCCAATCATGCGGCATGCACGTGACTAGAAATTCAAGTAAGTTAATTTCATCGACTTATTACTTTGGTGCTTTATCAATTGCAACCAACCATATGTGTAATTGGGATAAATATTGTATGTTGTTTATTATTTTCCTCTACGTATTTAATTATTTGAATTAAAGTAATCATGCCCGGAAACCCAACAGTTTGCTACCAACAGCATACTGTCACTTCTTATGATCAGGTTTCAACTGCTCTTCAACAGAGATTATATCCTTAAGCAGCTATGCCATAATCTACAAATGGCTTAGGATCGGATGAGAAACTATTTGAACAAGTCATACTGAACACGAGTCCACAATGGGGGATTTTGTTTAATTGGGCCTCCAGCCTAATCGGCAGACCATAATGAAGAAAAATCATTGTCACAAACTTTCTTCCCGCTATTTTGGAGCCTATAAAATCCTGGAACACATTAGTAAGGTGGCTGACAAGCTGGAGGTGCCCCTATTGCTCGAATCCACCATACATTCCATGTCTCTTTGTTGAAGAAAAAAAGTGCGTGATCATGTCAACTCCTCTACTCAATTACACTGCCACTTCAAGTGGCTAATCAAGTGGCTGGGACTACTTGTCGAGGACGCTACTTGGGAGGACGCTGGTGGCTTCCGGAAGGAGTTGATGGACTCCTAGTCATGAGAGGCCTAAAACATTATACCTATTAGGGTCAAGTCTTTACTATTATTACTATTATCCTCTTGTATTTCTCTTTTGGTTGCTATGTGTCGTAATCTCCGCCATAATTGAACGTCGTAATGTAGGGGCAAGTTTCAATTTCTTTCTTTCTTTGTTCTTTTTTATGTTTTTTTTGTCAAATTTCTTTCTTTCTATCTTGACAACATTACAACATTGAGTGGACGACGACAATCCATGTGTCAAATTAGGTCTTTGATACAAAATTATACTTTTTTTATCCTTAAGTTGAATTAAAATAATAATCAAAACCCAAAACATCCATTCCTTCCCACTATCATTTGTGATTAGTATACAAAATTCAATTGGGCCCACGTCCATTAATGGAATTTACATAATATCAGGGATGTAATACAATTGCTAAGATTGGACTATCCACGTATTCTTTTTTACTTCTTACATGTCCTTCTAATTTTCGATTTTTGGACCAGACGAATGGAAGAAGATCAAAAGACATACACTAACATCAAATGTGTGAAAAGTATAAATAGATGTATGAATAGTATATCCTTTAACATAATAGATGTAAGTATTGCAGCTGAATATATACTGATGTATGTGCTATTAGGATTCTTTCCTCTCCCCTTTCTCTCCTCTTCTCACATTTTTTTTTACTCCTTTTCTCTTCTTACAAAATTCAAAATAAAATATTAACATGATTTAATCGGAATCGGTTTTGTTTGATCAATCTGAACACAAACTTAAGTTAGTAGACGGTAGACGGAACACTCTCTCTCTCTCTCTTGGGTCTTGACTACTCGCGGGACTACTTTTATTCTCTCGTTAAACCACTGTCACTCTCTCACCGCTCTCTCTTGTCGGCTACTCTGAACTTGGATTTGCAACACACCAAAATTCCTCAAATGGTGGGGGAGATGGTATGTTAGGGTTTTGAGCTGAAGGATTTGGATTCAGCTTCCTCCTCCTTGCCATGGAATTGAGGAAGGAAAGGCTTGTCAGGTGAATCACCCACAAAGTTCCCTTTTTTAGTTTTTTTTTAATAAATGATTTCTCTGTTTGTTTGCTTCAGAACGTGAATGATGATTATTGAGCTTAGGAAATAGGTAGGACTGGGCATGGGAAAATATGACAGAAGCTCAAGGTTTCTGGGAACCCCATGTTTCATTCCCTCTTTCTTCTTTCAGTGCTTGTTTGGATACTGAGAAAATGTGATGAAAAATATTGAAAATTCTTTATTATATGGGACCCGGGAAAGTAATGATTATCTAATCTATACATACAGCTAGAATGATTTACCCTTCTATAAACCCGTACAAACAAATTCCGTCAGGTTGGAGCCTACGGCATACCACATCTAGTTTGTGTGCACAAATGCCACCCAAACTGAACTCCTGCCAATGTAGAATCCACTTGTAGTGGGCATGTACCGCCACTGTCAAATCTCCGTTAGAATTTCCGTAAAATCTCATATTGTGCTGCCCACATGAGCACTTTTTCATGTGTATTTTCACCACTCCATGACAGCAAGACCCCTATATGACTTAAGGGTAAGAATTTGATGACTGTGTCTTGCCCTTGAGGAAGTGGAAAATACATCCCACGAGCTTTGGTCAACCGATCGTAAGTCTGGTTGGTAAACTGGCAAGTGACATAATACCCTTAGAAAAATGCTCACTTGTGTTTAGATGAATTTGACTAAATTTTTTTATGAAAACTAATGGAGGCTGGACATTCACATTAAAACGTGAGTCTGGTTCGTAAACTGGCAAGATTTTTAGTTTGGGTAGTATTTGCACACGGCGCTAATAGTCCAGGTGGTGTTTGTGCAATTTTCCCTTTATTTTATTGTTCTACAGTTTTTTTTTCATTTGCTTAATAAGACTTCCTTTTATGCATCTAATCTGTTGAATATTATCATCAAGTTCCTTAAGTTTAATTTGAGGAACGAGAATTATAATTAACTTTTGAAACAATCTTACTCAATCTAAGGATCAGGACACTCTTTAATACTCTGCTCACCTTTAATGTGGCTTAGGTTTTATTCTGATGAAAAACGGCATAAAGAATCTTTATGGCGAAGAGCTGAGCCATCTCAGCTTGAAAAGTCATCATCTGCATATAAGTCGTCTTCATTGCTTAAATCTGACACTAGACTAGTGGGGGGAAGAAATAGATATGTTGAAACTTCCAGCATTGGGCATTCAAAGGTGTTTCCAGAGGACTATGAACCTTGGCAAAAGAGAATACTTGACCCAGGTAGTGAGATTGTGTTGCAATGGAATCGGGTTTTCATTGTCTCCTGCTTGGTGGCACTTTTTGTTGACCCTTTGTATTTTTATCTGCCCATGCTGGGAGGGGATGCAAACACATATTGTGTGAAGACGGACTTAAGGTTGCGAATTGTTGTGACTTGTTTCCGAACTATTGCGGATATCTTTTATATGTTGCATGTGATGATAAAGTTTAGGACAGCCTATGTTGCGCCAAGTTCTCGTGTTTTTGGGAGGGGTGAACTTGTCATGGACCCAAAGAAGATTGCGCAGAGATATATTAGATCTGACTTCTTCATTGATCTCATAGCCACATTGCCCCTCCCTCAGGTATTTTTTTTGGATTATAACTGATTCTTGACATTGTAGGTTTGCTTAGTTTCCTTTTCTGTTCAAGTTATATTGCATCAAAGAATGAGTGAGAAAATTATGATACCCATATAATATTAGGGAGAAAATATGTATAAGAGCTAGATTAACTGAGTGCTACTCTAAAATTTACCAGAGCGATCCAATATTAATCTGAAGAAGAGTATATAATTGTTGCCTTTTTGTGCGAGTTGTATTAAACAGGTAATGCAAATGGTTATAGCAGTAGAGATCAGCCTGATTTGATTGAAGATGTCAGATTAGTTTTTCTTTGACAGATATGTTATGTTTACATTGTCAGTGTTACTTTAAACTTTATAATTATGTCTTGTTTTATAGGTTATAAATGTGTCAACGTGACACAATTATTGAACGTATCAATATGAGCTTATTAAACATGTCAATTCTTGTAGTGTTCAGGTTAGGTTAGTTGGCTCGAAACACAAATGCTTATTGTTCATGTTAAACTGGTGGACACAATTTCCACTTGATCATGATTACACCAACTAAAACCCGTGTTTATTTTGTGTTGTTTCAAAGATTGCCACCCCTTTGTCTGATGGTGAGGTTTTGGCAATCTTAACCGGAACCCTAAACACTGCGAAATATGGTTAAAATACTTAATTATTAGAGACTGTACAGTCTTCATAGAGGAAATGCTAGATTCATTAACATGAGACATGAGACTATCACTAAAATCTGAAATGCTAGGTTCATGACTGATTGAAATTTTTTTGCAGATAGTTATCTGGTTTGTTATCCCCGCAACAAGAAGCGCTCAAACGGATCATAACAACAATGCGCTTGCACTAATTGTTCTGATCCAATATGTCCCCAGATTATATCTTATTTTTCCGTTGAGTTTACAAATAATCAAAGCAACTGGAGTGGTGACAAAGACTGCCTGGGCAGGGGCTGCATATAATCTTCTATTGTACATGCTGGCCAGCCATGTGTGTGTCTTTGGTTGCTTTTTTCTTCCTATTAAATTTTTCTTTCCCTCCGTCCTCTCTGAGTTCCAGAACAGGATGCTAATCTTTTACCTCTTTTGCTGTTACAGGTGTTAGGGGCAGCATGGTATTTGCTATCAATTGACCGATATACCTCATGCTGGAAGTCATTTTGTAAAAAGGAACTCAACACTACAAAATGCTCGCTTTCTTATCTAGATTGTGACAATGTTAACAGAAAAGGTTGGGCGAGTAGTACAAATGTGTTTGAGAATTGTAATCCTGCAAGCAAAAATTTCAAATATGGCATATTTGAAAGCGCAGTGACAAAAAATGTTGTCTCCTCAAACTTCATCACAAAATACTTCTATTGTTTATGGTGGGGCTTACAACAACTAAGGTATGGTGTTTTTTCCTTTTTAAGGTAGAAAGCTATGAATAAAATCAACAAAAAGGAAAATTTGGAAATTTAAGATGTCATGAAGATTTAGACGCCATGTTATTATTCACGACTAAATTCAGAAAAGGCTTATTCTATTACCGGTGGTAGTTATTTTTATTCACAAAGAATGATAGTGGCTATGATTGATTACTTACTAATTATCATCGTTGATTCCTGTTGCTTTCTAAATGAGTCTTGGTAATTCACATGTTGAACTTTGAAATATTATAAGTCTGTAGACCATTATATACTTCATTAAATACCAGTTAGTTGCGAATTCCCTTATATGACCTGCAGTAGGATATAATCCCGCGACACCTATAATGATTACCTTCCTATCTGATTTTTTAGACAGACCATCATAAGAATTCTCAGTTCGAATAATTTGGTTGAAGAACTCTAAGTTCCAAAACTAAATTCCTTCTCACTTCTATGTAAATTGTTACCTTCCTATCTGTTTTTAGACAGACCATCATAAGATGGGTTTCCACATCGGAGACATACCCAATATGCTTTGGCACGAATGTTTTTCTTTAACTTGCTGTCTAGAAAGATTCATTTTCCTAGGCATGCATTGGAAAAATTAAAAAGAGAACGAAGATTATCAATGCAATCCTGCGTAGTAATCGGTTAACATTTATTGTGAAACTGAATCTTAGATTAACTTTACAACGGTTAGAATATGGTTTTGCTTTTGGATGTTGAACCAGTGCTTCCGATTTGCTGGAATAGGCCTGCGCCTTACATAGAGGGTCAATACTGATCACTTTGAAGTATACAGCTTATTAGCATTTCCTTGGTTGTATGTTCTTTGGCTGTCAAGGATTTCTGTGGCATTGATATAATAGCTCGACTACCACATTGAGATACTGTAGGTGGTTGGAACATGGTTATGTACCTATAATTTGACAGAACAGTTTTTATAAGAAATGGCAGTTTTTTTTTTTCTAATTTCTTATTTCAGATAAAGTGGGATTTGATGATATTACCTTTTTAAAGCTGTTAATGAATGAAAAATGTTGATTCATATCGTTCCATTCTTATTGTCTTAGTTCGTATGGGCAAAACTTGTCGACAAGCACTTTTATTGGGGAGACGTCGTTTGCCATTCTCATTGCCATTGTGGGTCTTGTATTATTTGCCCACTTAATCGGGAATATGCAGGTAATAGGAGAAACACTTGTTGCCTCTGTATCTTGCGTTTAGTTTTACTTTTCTTCTCCTTCATGTCTGGAGTATTTTTTTCATCACTTTTTAGTCCTTAAATAATCGTTGATGCACGTGGAATTGATAGTTTAAACATGGGGATTGTCTTTATATTGTAGACCTATCTCCAATCAATCACTGTGAGGCTTGAGGAGTGGAGGCTTAAGCGAAGAGACACTGAGGAATGGATGAAGCATCGTCAACTCCCTGAAGATTTGAGACGACGTGTTCGTCGCTTTGTTCAATACAAATGGCTGGCAACTCGAGGAGTTGATGAAGAAGCCATCCTTCATGGCTTACCTGCTGATCTTCGTCGTGATATTCAACGCCACCTATGCTTAGATCTTGTTCGAAGAGTATGATTCTTCCCGAGTATTTATATTTTTGGGCTTACAGGCAATCTCGTTCAAGAAATATCATTCCTCATATTCCATCCAAATTAACAGGATGAGAGGATTAGGTTCCAGTCCCCAATGTATGTTGGATTAGGATTAAGGTTGAAAGGCTTACCAATTTAAACAGGCATCAAAGTATAGTATGACTCATTTGAGGATGTCTCAAAGTGCATGTGTTGGGTAAAATTGGGAACTCAGTCTAATGTAGTGTAAGCTATAATGACACTGCACAATATGGGTTCTAACTGCTTATAATGTCGTACTTATATAAAACCTCTGCTGATTCGTGTGCCTGTAAATGAAATTTACTAACCCACTTTCCTTTCTCATTTCTTCAGGTCCCGTTCTTCTCACAGATGGATGATCAACTTCTCGATGCAATATGTGAGCGTTTGGTGTCCTCCCTGAGCACGGGGGGTACCTACATAGTTCGAGAGGGTGACCCGGTGACAGAAATGCTTTTCATTATAAGAGGGTCTCTGGATAGTTCTACTACCAATGGAGGGCGGAGTGGATTCTTCAACTCGATCACTTTAAAACCTGGAGACTTTTGTGGTGAGGAGCTGCTTGCATGGGCTTTGCTCCCAAAATCCACTGTTAATTTGCCTTCTTCAACACGGACAGTTAAAGCACTTAGTGAAGTTGAAGCTTTTGCATTGCGAGCTGAAGATCTCAAATTTGTTGCTAACCAATTCAGACGCCTGCACAGCAAGAAGCTGCAGCACACATTTCGGTTTTACTCTCACCATTGGAGAACTTGGGCGGCCTGCTTCATACAGGCTGCTTGGCGCCGCCACAAAAGAAGAATGACAGTAAAGGATCTTTGTATGAGCGAATCATTTGCTTTGGATGAGAAAGTGGCTTATGAGACTGAGCAAGAGGAAGAACATCTTTCTGTTGTTTCAAATCCCGCTTCCCAGGTAAAAATGAATCTTGGGGTCACATTACTGGCTTCAAGATTTGCTGCAAACACAAGAAGGGGAGCTCAGAAGCTCAAAGACGAGATGCCAAAATTACGAAAACCTGACGAACCGGACTTTTCCACTGAGCCTGAAGATTAGTAGGTTTTGCGTAAAGCAGGCTTATGGGTGTAAAGATAGGTTTAGCTTTTTCGTCAAAGGTGAAGTGTAACTCATTCATGTACAACATAATCATCTTAGTTTGCCGGACTGGGTATTTCAGGTTTCACACGAATCCCCGCCGATTGCGATGCCTGATACCATTGACATCCGAATTATACCGCCATAATCGACCAATCGAGGTTGGTGGAAGAGGTGAATTGGTGCATTGGATGTTAGAGAAGTTGGACATTATTGTCTCGGGGGGTGCATCGGATGTATAAGGCAAACCGTATATTGATATAATCGCAGTTTGTGAGCTCAACCAGAGCAACACTGAATAGAAGACGTTGTTTACGGTCATTCAAGACTTACAGCCATTTTCATTCGAGTCCTTTTGAGTAATGCTCAAACCAAGCAACCAACGGAGCTGCCTCTGCACTTTCATCTATATTTAGTGTTGTTTTGCTGATGGATAACTGGGGAGTCTGCTTGAATGACCAAGTGATGTTGCTGGAAAAAGCTCCAGTGTATGTGTAGCAACTACCTCAAGTCTCCATTTTTGCGAGTGTAAATTACCTGCACAACCGGGGAATTTAAAGGTGTAAATCCAAATTTCGTTCCTTGCGCCAATGCGTTTATATGATCGCGTACAATCCAAATATGATAAGAAGAGAGGCGCAACAGGGGCATTTTCGTCCTCTTTCAAATTCAAAATTTAAATAGTGAAATTCCGAACCTGCACTTCACAATGGGCATCAGAGTCAGCAACCACGATCAAGGTTCATGTACGACGATAGGCCTTGAAGGATTGGGAGTGGGCTGGGACCGAATTCTACATCTTTCTCAGCCGGGTTGGGCCTAATACCGTAGGGGAAGCATTGTAATAGCTCCCTAACTTGTGGTGTGTTGACTTATTAGAGACCGAATTACAATGTTTTGGTGTTCTTCTTTATGATTCACATAACTCTCGTGCTACTTGGGGTTGGTTTGTATTGCTGTGTTTTGAAAAAAAACTGCTTCTGTTGTGCTATAAGTTCATTTTTGCTGCTTCACGTTTTCAGTTTTTTTTTTTGCGAGTGTAAATTACCTGCACAACCGGGGAATTTAAAGGTGTAAATCCAAATTTCGTTCCTTGCGCCAATGCGTTTGTATGGTCACGTACTATCCAAATATGATACGAAGAGAGGCGCAACAGCGGCATTTTCGTCCTCTTCTAAATTCAAAATTTAAATAGTGAAATTCCGAACCTGCATCTCACAATTGGCATCAGAGTTAGCAACCACGATCACGACGATAGGCCTTGAAGGATTGGGAGTGGGCTGGGACCGAATTCTACATCTTTCTCAGCCGGGTTGGGCCTAATACCGTAGGTGAAGCATTGTAATAGCTCCCTAACTTGTGGTGTGTTGACTTGTTAGAGACCGAATTACAATGTTTTGGTGTTCTTCTTTATGATTCACATAACTCTCGTGCTACTTGGGGTTGGTTTGTATTGCTGTGTTTTGAAAAAAAACTGCTTCTGTTGTGCTATGAGAATAAGCTCATTTTTGTTGCTTCACTTTTTCAGCTTTTTTTTTTCATCCAAAACTGTGAAAATAATCTGTTTTTAAATGTTTACCAAACATCTTTTTGAGCTCAACTTTTTTTTGATACTTACTTTTTATAAAAACACCTCAGTACCAAATCAGTATTTGATCTCTCTCATTAATGGTGAAGCTGAGGTTCTTTGAATCTCTAATTATGTTTCAATTTTTATAATTTTTTAAATTTTCTCATATAAAAATGCAAGAATACCACTAGTATTAAATAGTTGTAATTTTACAATTTTTACCCATTGACAGAGGCAGCATAGGGTTTTTGATTATCCTTGATCTCAACAACTTAAAAAATCCATGTATATTTGTTTGTATATTGTATGTGATCCCTATAAACAGTTAAGACAAATTAAATTACAGTCTCCTTCTCCTACTTCTTCTATTTTCTTCTTTCATTTTTTTCTTTTTCTCTCTTCTTGTATGAAATACTTTAGGTGAAAAGCATTAACAGTCTTCAACATTACTTCATAGTATCTTGTATTCATCATCGACAAGTCTCTACAAATGTTGACATATGCCGGCCAATAAACAAAAAAGTCTTGGGTGATGAAAAAAGTTGTATCACGTCTTCGTTCACTCAGTGTCGTCTCTCCCTCCCTGTGTGCTCCAGCTTGCTTCTCTCGTCTGTATCACATTGAATTCCGTATGCCATCTGTGCCTCTTTTTCCGTTTCACACTCATCATCTTCTCAACCTCTCCACCATGTTAATTTTTACTTGCACCAATCTATTCAAATTCAATGTACTCACACAAAAAACAAATTTATGTTGACTAAAAGAAAACTCCGAAATGTATACATAACTTAGTTTTATCAATTTTTTGTGTCGGTGAATCACACTATAGTGGTCAGGAGAGATCGAAATGCCTCTGTAAATCTTTCCAACTAATGAACTGTCGTGTCCAAACCATCAGCTGATTTGGTTTTTTGTTTTTTTTTTTTGTTTAAAAACAATAAAAACAATAACATCAACATGCAATAATAGAAACGAAAACCCTAAAGAGATTAAGATATGAGGTCACGTATGCCCCCATTTGCCATGAAACATCAACTAATTACACACACACACAGAGTCAGCAGCACCAATTACGGGTGCTTCTGCATCCCATCTTAGCAGCACCCACTTTCACTTTTTGCATTAAATGTGAATCCCTTTTCTTTCAGTTATCTCACACACTTTTCCGACCCATCTATTGTGGAACATAAAGAAGTAGAAAGTTGAATTCCATGCCAACCACTTAAAAGGTAAGGGACAGAGACAGAGAACCGCACTGGCAATTTTGTAGGGTAAAAATCGTGCATTGTGAAAGTGAATAACAAAAATTCTTCGAAGCTCTGAAATACCGGGTACTTTTGAGTTTTTTTTTATTTTTTATTTTTTTAAGAAGAATGTCACTAGACCATATAATTGAGTGACAAAAAGTTGTAATTTTTTAGCTGTTAAATTTTAATTTTTATATTCTTAAATAAAAAATACCCTAAGTAACAAAAAATTACAGTAACTACTCCCTTTTTCGCTCTCTTATTTGTTTTCACTTTTGACAGAATGACAGTGGCTTTGTTTGCGCACCCTAGACTCTAAAAAGTTCATGAGAAGATGTGAATCCTTGACAAAACAAGTGCCGTGCTTTCTCTTTTTTCTTTCTGGGATTTATCGTGAGTTTCTTTATCAGTCAGCTTTTTGTTTACAGCGCATGTTTGAAAGAGGACCTCATCACCCTTTTTGGCTTTTTGAATTTCTATCCAACCAAAATGATTTACACGAAATAAATTTACTGTTGTTCTATATAAAAATGCATTTGTTCTTCGTCTCATATCGACGAAGTACATATGTAATACTAATAATTAACTTTAAAGATTAATAAATGTACAAGAAATTCCTCAAATATTGTTTTATATATTTTTGGTATTATCATTTTCAATTCAACTTGACATCAGAGCAATTCTCTTGGTGACTTGTGTGTTTTAATTTTTGTGCCCATTTTTCTTAGGATTGTGCCCTAAGTGCCATTAAATAGTGATATGCTACAGTGCGTGCCAATGATCAATGATTTTGTCATAGTGCCATGAACATTTCTAGTAAATTGTCTCAATTTTATTGTGTGTCTGTTGTGCCTTTATTGTTCTCTTGCTGGAACAAAGAAGTAGATAATTAATATTGGGGCCATTGACCATGTGACTGATGACCTTAGAGTGTTTGATGAGTTATGTAATTATGTTCATGATCCGTATATCACTAGTGCAAATGGAACACCTTCACCTGGCACTATCTCTCTTACTTCGACCTTATCATCAGTCCATGTTCTACTTGTTCCTAATGTTATGTGCAATCTTCTGTCGGTAAGGCAAACTACTTGATACCTTATATTGTTCCACTTACTTCTACCCCACATATTATTATTTTAAGACCTTAAAACTCAGAAGATTACTGGTCGTGGTAAAAGAATTGAGGGTTTGTACATCTTGACTATGGAGGACAAAGTTGTTTCAGGTTCAAGTAATCATCAAGTTCTAAATGCGAAAGTCGATGATAAACATCAAATTTGGTTGCAGCATCGACGCTTGGGACATCCATCAAATTAGTTATCTGAAGCATCTATTTCCTTCTTTGTTTGCACTTGTAGTGATTCAGAGGTCAAGCGTGAAACATGAGTCATGGCTAAGAGTCGTCATAGTTCCTTTCCAAATTGTGATTCTAAAGCTACTTTGCCATTTGATTTTGGTACATTCTGATGTGTGGTGTCCGCCTTGACGATAGAAAAGCAGTGGTTACTCATCACCTTTGCGACTAGAAGGAGACATACTTGAAGAATTCCTGCATAAAAAATATCAGGAAAATATTTAGGGGTGATTGAGAAGAGAAAGAATTAAAAAAATGCATGGAGCAACACACCAAGCTGCAGTCCACCACGTTGCCCCATGACTAAGATGCAAAGACGCTCGTGCCTCCTTCCTTCTTCTCTAGAAGATGGGCCCACATGCCCTTTTCCTCATTCCCAATGGAGCAAGGCCCAGATGAGCCTCTCTTCTCTCTTTCATCTTGGTCCAGCACAACACTTAGCCCAGCATTGTGTGAGGCCTAGCACGTCAGTCTTGCCTAACTGCGCCCTACCTCTTCCTCGGGGGGAGGGGGCGGTCTCGCCCAAGACGAGCCAACACTTTGGCCTAGCCAGCCACGCCACACTACCACCTTAGCCCAGTTGAGCCATTTCCTCCCGTAGCAGCCTCGTGTTTTTCCAACCACGTTTTCTCACGTTCTTGGCCTTAGTCGAACCATCTCATGAAGCCCCGATGATCCAGAAAAATAAAAAAGAAAAAGAATTAAATTCTTCTTACCTTGGCGTGACACTGAGAAGAAGAACGATGATGACAAACAACTATTTGCAAGGGCAAGTAAAGAATAAGACTAGGGGAAAGAGAACAAATTTCCTCTGGTTTCCTCTCTTTCTTGTTGGGATTAAAATTGCTCTCCAAATTCACTTAACCCCTACTTAAGGGAGACTTAAATAGGTTTTGGTGACAAATGGTTTCCCTTTCCTCGAAGACTCTATTCCAAGTCAAAGCGGAGAATCTATTCAAATTGGGAAATAACTCTCTCACTTATCCAGGCTAGGATTTTTACACCTACTACCTTTTTCTGTGTGCAGGCAGCAGGTGTAGGGGCATTTGTAGAGCAAAGAATAATCCCAAAAATCCTGACGAAGACACATGGACTTTTTTCCTAAAGAAGACAAAATTGCCCTCGTTAAATGAACAGACAAACAAAT